CATGCGTTTTATATTTATTTCTTTAATAAAGTTAACTTTCAATTAAAAAAACTTAAATAATGTTATATTCATTTAAAATTATATTTATGAGAACGTTTTTGGAACAAAACTCTTTGTATTACTAAAGAAATATATTTTAATAATGCGATAAAGTACATAATTGTTAAATAAATATAGAATTAATTTCTTTTTGTTTTTCGTCATATTTTCATGAAAGCAAAATGTTAATCGAAAATCGTCCAAATCCAGATCCTGTATAGTTGCTGTACAAGTAATCATAACATATTATATGTTTTGTTTCATTATTAAAATTAACTTATTCTATCTGTAACTCATTATTTGGTTCATATTTATAACATCTCAATATTTGTAATAAACTATTCTTTGAAACCAAAAAAGGAGTTCATGATTTGAAATTTTTAGCGCGTAGACTTCATTTGTGGAATCTCAAAACAAATCAGGGAAGTTTTGTATATCGATTGTACATCTCTGTGTTCACAAACAAATCAATTCTACCCAACTTTGATTATATTATTTACTCATTAATATTTGTGAATATTTTATTTTCACAATACTGAAAATATATATATATATATATATATATATTATATATTTTCTGAATACGTTCAGTAAGCCCCACGTTAAGACATTTGAATGTATACGTGTGTATGAAGATAAAATGTTTCTGGAGGAACAAACCATTTATGCCTCACATGGTGCGGGTGTGTGGAGCGCGCACTTGCACTCTTGTTGCAGTACTTATCGTATTTAGTTCCCCTCGCATAAAACAAAAAACAAATGATAATAACGATATCTAATTAACTTTCATATCCAAAAACTGTTTCTGTATTATTTTGTGAACGCCTAAACATTTGGGCCTAAGAAACATCCACGGTCGACAGTGCCTTGCTCGCGTATTATTATTCTGCAATATCACACGTGATAGACCGTTGCCACGTCGCGTGACTATAAACGATTTCCCATCTAAAAAGAATAATAATAATTTCAACTCTTGATGCACTGGAAACGACGATAACACATTGTATGCAACCGTTGCTGTAAACTTTACGCATAAATATACGCTCAGCCATCACCCATTATTGCATACTTTAATCGTATAGAAATGATTTGATTTGATTTATAGTTATTACTTCCCTGTTGTACTTTTGACTACCGTTTAGTTGTCATAAAGTGCCTATATCTCCGAGTAAACAAAATATTCAAATGCTTCTTTATATACTCGTATATTCAATTCCGATGTTCTTATAAAATGCAGCGACACTCGACGTGCACAAAGCATCGTAATTTGAATCGTTTGTTCCGTACAAAATTATTGTCTGAACAATATTTACTCGTAATAATTCGAACTTGAACAAATATTTAAATATTTATCTCGTTACGACTTCTATTAAAACACTAGGGTCACAAAAGTAATAATTTGCTACCTCTAAAATTTTCATATTTGTGGTTTTTCACTATCGAAAAAGACAGTTGAAGACTTGAATTCTATATTTTTAGTTTGAATAAAAGATGATGTTAGTTAAATATGTATGTGATGTGATTGTTTGACGCTATATTAAATATATAACTCAAAATCAATTTGTATTTTGGATACAAATAAAAACTACCTACCCTATATTATACTATATTTGTTTAAATTAACTTTGGTAGAATATAATTGTAAGTTTTTATCAAAATAATGGTTTTTTTCTACCTTAGAGATGTGAGGAACAAATCCCCCATTCACCTATACATCATTAACAGGACTAGACCAAGGGGGTTGGGGCTAGAGAGGCTTTAGCTGCAAATTGAAGAGATGACAATGTGTTTTATAATCGTTAACTAAAAAGTATAAAGTACTGTTCTATCAGTTTTAACTATACTACAATATACAAATATACTATACTTATTTTAATTAATGTATATAGGTTTATGGTTAAGCGAATAACAATAATTGTGCAACAGTTATACAAACAATGTGTATAAGGAGACGGTCCCTCATTCGACACACTCCATATCTTATAATATGTATAAATACCAGTGCTTGGTACGCATCATGTATTTATTAAAAAAATGTATGTAATAATTATTATTTATAGTGTTTTGTGTATATAATAGTATTTACAATATATATAAAAATGTTTACACAAAAATAATCATGTAAATTACCTCATATTATTCAAATACTTATGTAGTTCACTGCGTTAAGGTCCCCACCCACTGGTGGTGGTGGCAGTGGCGGTGGCGTTAAATTTGTACACACGTATTGTAATGGGAGTCCGCACACTGCAGCGGTAATTCGGCCGCGGTAAAATATCGACGCTGCGATATTTATAAAAACCGCAGAATGCTCGATTTTACCGCCACCGCGCAGCGGTATTTTCAATTGACTTATCAAATATACGCTAATAGCACCTATACTATCTATATTAGTAGTATATTAGTCTAGACTTCGAATATTTCCTAGAAACTATTCAAGTTATAGTTTAATATACTATTTAACTTTATTAAAAATAATTCATATAAAAATAATCAATACAATATTATATATATTTATATATATATATATATAATGAATATAATATGTACAATAGTATAAGTACTTAATATAGTACCTACTAACGTACTATATAGATAAATCGTCAATTAATCAATGACTTAATAGGAATTAATTAATTAACTATACAATTATTGTATGTAATATATAAATATATTATGTTTATACTGGATAAAAATCGCCACCGCGGCAGTGTGTTGGGACCTTTACACGTTTTGATTTTATCAACCTCGGGAACTTGCTAAATTATTGTTCCCGTGATATTACAAGATCGTATCAAATTTTTTGTTGAAAGTAGGTAGGTAATATAACGATAATAATCGCATTTACTTTTAATTATTGCTGTTACAGTGTTATTAAATGAATAAATAACATCGTCAAAGCAATTACGCGATACGTTACGCGCTAAATTTAGTGTAGGTAATCACAACGCTTTCAATATAGATATAGACAACTTTGTCAAGCGACCGTCATATTATAACATTATTATTTCGTACATCGTTAATAATTAACATGCGCGTTGGTGGCACGTTATATTCAATTTATACCCAATTACCAGTAGGGTTAATGTACGCGTAATAAAATGCCGTTTAGGCAAATTATATTTTATATTTTTTAGGTAAATTATCAGTTTCAATTAAGCTATTAGTATAACTATTAATGAAAAAATAATCATCAACACATTTGTTTTTCTACAGTATACCTATTCTGTGTGCATTGTAAATATATTTATTTAAATAAAAAGCAAATAAATAAACTATTATTATGAAGTATTATATTATGTAAAATTATTAAGTATATATCACATTGTCATTTTATTTATTTTCAACCCGTCATACAAATCATACAGTTGGTAACTAACCTTGTTAGAACTCTTATTACATTATTAAAAATATACTAAATCATTTATATAAAATTCTATAAAAAATGATCAAAGGAGATGCAAGACGACAACCAGTACCGCATTTAGGAGGGGGGATATAAGAGAATATGCTTGCTTCAGGTGCTGTTGGTATAAGGGCAATCTCAAGTTTATAAAAAAGTCATGAACATAAAATATGTATATATAATAAAATATTTCAGGTAAAAAATAAATAGATACCACACGGTCGTTTGTTATTTAACACGTTAGACGCTGATGCCAATATTTCATTGACATAATATATTATAGTAACCCATTTTGTAGTCTTTATTAGGCGGCTATATCAGAACACACTTGAAATTTCTGTCTGTCATTCAATGCCGAATTTAATATTGCAGAAAATGATTTTTATAACATAAAAATGAAAAAAAAATCTGTATTATTAATTAAAAGTTATATTGACCATATCTAACGTTTAATATTCGAATCAATGAAAAATGTTGCTCAAGATATTTCATTTTTAGATCAAGCAATAATTTATTTTTACGGGAAACTTGGAAAGATTCGAAGTTGATTTTGTGTAATAATTATGAAAATTATCTTGAAAATTTAAATTCATTTCAGTTTTTAAGACCATATTTTTAACTCAGATGAAAATTTAAAGTGACAAACTTTTTTGAAATGTTGAATTTTATTTGTAAAAAAAAATTTCAAGATACATATCCAAATATATCCAATACTTATCAAATATATATTGCAATGCCAGTTCTATCAGCTTAGTGTGAACGATGCTTTATCAAATTAAAATTAATAATAACAAAACTACAATAAAGTACGGAACAAGCAAGATTTATACAATTATCTATTATATACATAAAAAATACAATTGCAAGAAATAATTGATGAAAACATAATCAATGATTTTGCTGCGAGAAGGCTAGAATAATTTATTTTTAAATTTACAATTTTCTAGGAATACAATTTTTTTTTTTAAGTTAAAGTAACCAAGAGTTTTTATATTTTTTTAATGATTTTTAAGTATAATATTGATATATTTAGTACTAATAAATATTATATGAAAACAATGAAAACAAAGTAATGTTAAAAAAAACTTTTGATTTGTGTTTAAACATTTTGTTTTGTGTTGACACCCGGCATACCCTTTACTTCCACCTACGTAAGGGGCACTACATTTTTATTTTCCCTTGACATCAAATTTTCTATTTCTGGCACCTACGGTAACTATCCGTTCGTCCCCCGGTAAAATATCAGGGAACTATTATTAGCCCTCGTTGACCACAATTTGAATACCTCCATCCCATTTGACGTATGATTAAATATACGTGCTCTCATTTTCTTTCTGAATTTCAACATCAATAAAGGTTTTTCGAACTGGGGACATTATATTTCAAGTGTTCCTGCCAACCAGAAATACAACAAGTAAATATGCGTTTGAAATGCACGTAAATTCTATCTGTGCATTAGTCAAGTCAGAAATCCATTTTTGTTTGCTGATTGTTAATAAATCTCATATATATAAAATGAAAGCGGTTTAACGTGTTTATGTTTTTATTTTTCCAGGCTCACTCATCCGAATATCGTGCAATTGCTGGAAACGTTTGAGGACAAGTCCAAAGTGTACCTCATCATGGAACTGTGAGTATTATATTATAAACTCGGGGGCGTTAAATTTTAGAGGGTGTAATTTTTATACACTCATATAATCTTTTGTTGACTACAAGATTGATACTTATAACTTTGTTGCTGATAATATGCTTAAGACTCAATAAGTATGATTGTATGTTCATTATTAGGAAAAAAATGTTGGGAAGGGTATTTGATTCATAGTCTATGATAGTGCATAATCTAAAAATTTTCCATGGGCGTAGAAATTCCTAGTGTATAGCATATATACCACGTGTATTCAATGCACCTTGCAATCCTCACGTATGATATAAATATAATATTATACTAACCATCACACCTCAATTTAAAAATAAACTCAGCCTTAACATATTTTTCGAAAAAATTAAAATTTCAGTTAAATCAAAAGTTTGAAAAATTCTTCTAACCGTGTGATCCAATACATTTTGTAGAGGAATAAATGCACTATATTCATATATTTTTAAACCTTCGGGATAACATGGTTTTTTTTGCTTCTCGTATGCAGTCATATGAAGGATACACATTGACTCCATGTTTTTTAAACCTAATCGAGTTTGATGATAAACGTTTTTTGTCATGCGACAATTTACCATATGAGCAAGAGCTTCATCTACAGTAAATGGTGTTATATTTTTCCCCTTCAACGTTTCATGAAAAGATTTCCTAATATTTACAAGACGACTAAGAGAATACTCTGATGGCTGTTTTAATAAATTAGCTGCTGCATGTTTACCTTCTTTAAAAAGTAATACTCTTGTCGCTTGTAATAATAATAATAAACTTTTTGGCGATTTTGTATCCACTAATGATTTTACTTTTCGTATTTTAGATCTTTCAGATACATCATAAAATAATTTTGATGGACGACCGCGTTTATCAACTATTTTATTTTCATTTTGAGGTAAAATAAATTCGGTATCTAACCAACCCTCGTTTTTAGAAATAAATGTAGTTGCAGTACGATTTACGGCTAACCACTTGCGATTTAACGTAGTTATAAATCCTGAAATTTTACATTTCAATTCATTTTCATATTTCTCATCAAAAAATGATTTATTTTTTTTTTTGCAATATAATTAAATAAAAATAATATTAAATAAAATCCACAGAGCACTAATTTAATTGTTGTTGGAAATTTCTGAGAGCATCAAATAAATCACGGTAGGTATATAATATTATCTACAAAAAAAAATCATAGAAATTAAATGGGCAACTTTGAGTATACCATATTTTAGAATTTACTAAATAGTATGTTTACTAAAATATTTTAATAAAAATTGGGGCTTTTTTATGTCCTTTTTTTCAGATCACTATAATTGTTAAATTATGATATATTTTTATTATTTTGTTATTAAAATTTTAACAATTTATTGTTGATTGGAGAGTTAATTAAACTATTAATAATTATTTTATACCTCGTTTAGAAGTTTCCATAGTACAAAGTAAATTATCAAAAAAAAACTAAATAATATAACGTTCTATAATACTTATAACAAATATTTATTGTGGACATGCGTATTGTCAAGAAAGTCGCTGTGATGAAAATATCGCGCTAATTGAACTTTTAATGCTATTGATAAAACGTAATAAAGATAAAATAAGCATCCAATACAAGATTGACAACTTATAATGAAAAAATTTGCACTGCATTTTTATCAAAATTTTGATAGTTCAAATTGTATTTTTGTCATGGTAAAATTATGATTCCTCCCACTGTGCGCCATGAATAAATGAAAAATTATGTTAGAAAAGTTTTTCAAAGCCTAATAAGCTATTAGCATCAGAATAAATTATTTTAATGACCAACCAAGCCCGAAATGAAACATAACTTTAAGTGATATATTGAACCAGGAATTACATTTTATGCTTACTGCCAAACTGAACTGTATACTTCGACATTAAAACAAATTGTAATTTAATTTTAAAGTTAAAATGCAATTTAATTTTTTTTTTTTTTCATTACCTACTTGTTTATTATAAATCGTTGTTTTATTTTCGTTCGTCGAATCAAAAACACGTTTGAATTCGAAGGAAATGTTTGGATTTTCTCATTTCTATTTCAAATTATTCACAAATTTTCAAAAGTTAGTTGACCCATTTATATTATTACATACATTTTAAAATTCATTTCTCATGATCTTAGGGTTAACGAAATAACAACAATAAAATATTTAAGTATTATCTATTACCACGCAGTACAACATTTTATTTTGCTTTTTCTTAATTACACTATTCTATCATTAGAAATTCGAGTAACAAATATTTATGTCAATATTTCATTAAAATCTCAAATTTAACTCAACAAAATATGATCTCAATTATAAACTATATTGCGAGGAAGTCGTAGATTTATTGGGGACCAATAAAAAATACTTTTAATTTTAAAAATACTTTAATTAGTGTAAAGTATAATATTTTAACTCACCTGTTAATAAAAAAAAGTAACTGACAGTAATAAAAGACTCAAATGACACTGGATGGAATTTTTAAACTTAAGTTCTTTATCGATTTTTCTATACTTTTCTATTTATGTATATTTTGTTTTCCATTTATAGAACGATAGCTACTTCAATTAATTTTTTTTCTATTTTCATGAAAATGTCTCACACAATAAATTTTTAATTAATAATATATAATGTTATAGCAGGACTTTATGGTGTGATTCTTACTCAAGTAATTTATGTTATGTATGGCGTTTTATCTTATATACATATTGTGCATTAATTTGTATGGATTGTGCATATACTTGTGGATAATAAAAATAAAAAATACTTCATCGTCGACGGTTTTGTTTTTATCTTGTGTGTGACTTCATTAAAATCCCGGACGCTTCATCGGGCGTTCTTTTACACAACATTTGTATTCTAAACGTGATAATAATATCGAAAATTCGAAGTACACGTATTGAGGATGCCTCAGAATTGGAGAGCACGTTTCCCTCTACCGCACCACATGACGTATACGAAACAAAATCAAATTCTTTTATTGTAAACGTGTATCTACTGATTGTAATTACAAATTTAAATCAACATATTAGGAGAACCGTAGTTATCATGTAGATAGTTTCCAATTAAAATACGTTTAAAACTGCTTCGATAAATGTTCAAACGTTAAGACATTCATCAATATATATATATACATGAAGTATTATAATTTATTACCCCCATATATTAATTTCCCGGTCATAATAAGCGCATCGCTTAACTAATTATTAGTTTCCGTGCCCGCTATGAATACTAAAACATATAGTTAAGTATTGCACGGATTCTCGTATGACAGTGAATACTACATAAATACACTGCATATTATCATTACTTGAAATACGTTTAGAACGTTCTTTCCTTAACAGTCTTTATCATTTTTATGAGTCTTGTTCGATATCTTTTAATCGTACGAATGACTATACAGGAAAAGTAAAAATTATATATCACATTATTGGGGTACGAAATTTGTCAATGTTTTTAAAACACGACGTTGCAATGTTTCTTGTTAATCATTCTTGTTAATAACTATTAGCATTTTAGTTACCAAAATCAAATATTCCTTTGGTCATATTTGATTCTCTTATCAACTATTTTAATCGATCAAATATACATTTATTTAAAGGAAATTATTTTAAAAAATGTAATTATATTTACGAGTATTTATGCAATGAGACACATTATTGTTTTACAAATTTTAGAAATTAATAAAATATTGAACCTTATACTTTTTATTCTATATACTATATTTTATAACTTCAAATTAACTTGACTTGGCCAATATTTCACTTAAAACCCTCTTATTAAATTAAAAAAAAATAATAACTATAATTATTTTATCCAATGCACTCGGTACCCATTCTGTGTAAGACGGTTCTTTAAGTGAGATTTTTCTTTCGGAGAATGGAAATTTATGCAAAAGTGTTATGTAATTAAAAATAAATTACTGTATAATACAACAACATTTAAAAAATGTTAGTCTGAATAATTAAAAAAAATGCTTATGAAAATGATTTATGTTTAATTAGTTTATTTTACATATAAACACATCTTTGATTATAAAACTATATTTAAGTACATCAATTTGATTAATTACCTATATAAAAAAATTAAAACTTCCCCATCCCTTTTAATAAAGCTCACCACTATGATTTGTTTTTATTTTTTACTTCAATGTATCATTCTCCTAGGTTTTAGATATTAGGCTAGTAATTAGAGTTCAAGAAATTGTGAAATTTTTTAGAGTTTATTTTTACTATTTAACTTTCAGAGTTCTTAAAAGTAATCTCATTTTTATAGTTAGATACATGAATTTAATGTAAATATTATAGTATATGACTTAATACACATCTCCAGTGAATTTTAAATTTATAATACATGTAATAATCGTTGCTGATAATCACTACAACAAAAGTTATAATGGTTTTCAGCTAGAAATATGGCGTTCTATAGTTTTTTAATAGATTATGTGGTAAAAATTTGAAAAAACCATTTCTTATTTGTAAAAATAACATAATCGCGTGATATTATAATGATTGGTATTCGAAAATGTATTCGAAATTTAAAGGCGTTATGAAAAAAATTACTATTCTTGCTCCGCTTGACTTTATGGGGACGGAAAAGCTATCTAAAATATATTCCCTTGGACAATGTTTTTGTTACGATATTATTATATATTGATTGATTAATTGTTAAATCAAACGATTGAAATCCAAAACATTATGGACATTTTTTTTTCATGCAGGGTAACCGGAGGCGAACTGTTCGACCGGATCGTGCAGAAGGGCTCGTACACCGAAAAAGACGCCGCCCATTTGATCCGTCAGGTACTGGAAGCTGTGGATTACATGCATGAGCAAGGCGTAGTACACAGGGATCTCAAGGTGAGTGTAACACCTTGTTTTATGTAACAAAAATAAAATAGTAGACACATGTTCTAAGCAAATTTAAGTTCACGAACTTAAATGTACCATGAGCACACTGTGTAAGAATTGAATAAAAATCATTAATATTACTGTTATTCAGTGGCGTACGCAGGGGGGGGGGACTAACGGGCTGAAGCCCCCCCCCCATTGCGGGAATTATTATTTTTGTTTTTAAATCTACCAACGATTTAATATAGTATCTCAAAGCGTGTATTTACCCATTTATTAGAAAAATGGACTGATATTAATAAATATTATACATATCTTAGTCTGTGATTACGACCACAGTCCATAGATGGGTATTTATAATCTATGATTACAACTGAACTGATATTAGCAACAATCCAAACATCGTTAATCTAGCCAACATTCCAAAGATCAACCATGACGGAGGAACGTCTTAATGGATTAGCTTTACCAAATATCAATAAAAAAGAAAATCTGACCGAATTGGAAGTTCTACAACAATTTTCAAAAACATCACCTAAGCGACTACAATTATTAGACTGGACTAAATAAAAATTTATTTTATTACCCATTATTTTAGTTATTTTTTTTTTTTTCATATATTTTTTGTTTATTTAATGCTTAATTTAAATAAGAAATAAAAAAGCAACTATTTTATTTTTCAAGCCTATGCGCCTCTTATAACTGAGTAATTATTTATTTTCATCCCCCCTTCCATTATAAAATTCTGCATACGCTACTGATATTATTACTACTGTTGTTATTACTATTACTATTACTACTGGGTTATCACCTGTATCTTAGGCTACTTGCAAAAGTAATTAAAAGCAACCTTTGGTACATTAAAAGGTACCTTACAAACTGTACGAAAATAACTATTCAAAATAGAAATATAAATAACTTAAATTACGACTACGACTACAGGTGTTTAATTTTGTTGAACATATGTGTTCTATTGCTTATAATTATATTTTTCAGGAAAAAAAAACATTTAATTTCATTAAATCTTTTTTTGCATTTGCCTTATGAAGATAAATTTTCTTTTCATGAAACCTTACTCTAAGTATGAAATAACTCATTCAATCTCTACGAATTTAAATTATTAAATATTATGTATAGGTATTCATTTTTCAACAATAATTTACAACTAAGGGATTTTAGAAATAAAATACACGCATTATAAATTGATTGTTAACACATTTAATATACGTAAAGGTATGTTACATATACTCAAAATTATCGTTTAAATATCTGTCAAAAGTGTTACCAGTATAAAAATGTGCTAATATATGAAATAAAAACGAATTAATTGGCTACATAAAATTTTATGTATTAATCTACTCGTATCTGATTTTTAACGATCACGATATTAAATAATTTTTTAATTACTTTTGTTTGTGACGAGGATCTCAGTTTTCCTGTCTGTAAAATTGAATTTCAAATTAGTTAAATGTTACTTAAACAAGGACGTCATTTCTTCGTTTACCATAATTTTTTTAATTTTTTTATTTCTTAATAAATTAAAACTTTGAAATGTTATAATTATATGTCATAATATAATACAAACATCTTTTGATATCAATCTTCTTTGAATGCAGTTTTAAAATATTTACATAATTATAATTAATTTAATCTGTATTTGAATTGATAAGACTATGGGCCAAAACTGATGGAATTCACATTAAATCTTGCCAAGTTTACTCTATTATATACTTTATCTTTTTCATCAAAAATTATAACTGATTAGCTCTATTATTTTATTTTATATGACAACTTTTTTATATCATTGTATTCCTTGGAAAATTAATAATTCTAAGTTTATAAATACATTGTGTTTTTCAAAAATGTATTAAAAGCTAGTTAATACCTATGCTTAAATTCCCAAAACAAAGCCAAAAATACATTGATACTCTAATTTATCATTAAATTCACAAAGAAAAATGTTCTTAAAAATAAAAAAATACTTCAGGATTTTCACTTTAGTTTAGCGAAAATTCCTTGAAAACTCATCATTTCTAATTGGATTTTTGTTAAATCGAAAATAAATACAAAAAATAATTTTTTAAATCAACCAATTAATTATTTTTACAACTATAGTCATAGTCACTAATTTTCACTTTTAAGTTTCTACATAAAAAAAAAAATATACTAATTATTGTAAAACTTTTAATATTTTAATATGGTATTGTAAATTGAATAATCTTCATACATTTGAAATAATAAAATTTTACATTACACGACGAAAAAATTATTTCAAATTTTAATTGCAATGTTTTAAATATACTATAAGGACAACATTTATTCCATTGTTCAAAAAAATATTTACATTTCGATTATTTTAATCTAGTTGGATATCAAATGTGATATTAAATGTGATATTAAATGTGTGGGTTGAAATAATTTAAAATTGAATAAAATTACAATTAATTAATTTAAATGTCAAATAAAAACTCGTTTAAATTCAGGCTTTCATATGTATAGTATAAATAACATAATGGTACTATTTGACTCAAATATTGATTTGTGGGTGTGCGACGTTTCAGTGCTTCTCGCGGTCCCAAACGTCGTGTGACGGATCCATAGAGAGAGTCGCCAACCTATGGCCGAGACGATTCATCAGAGCTCATAGGATTTTTTTTTTAAAAAAGATAAGGTTAGGCGAGAGTAAAGAGATAAAAAATGTAAAAAAAAAAATTAGTAAAATAGGATATACATTTTATTTTTATTACGTTGTTGCCGAGAAAGTTTCCAGGCATAAAACTCAGTCAAAAGAATAAAAAAAATGACAATACAAAACTAACCTAATAAATTAATCTAATATTAAATTTATACTGATTGGTGCATCAATTCATGCAACAGTTTTTTTTTTTCAGTTGTGTTGTAGGCAACACAACTTTGCATCAATAATTAAAATTAAAACATTAAATTAAAATTTTGTCCATTGGACGCATTAAAAGGAAATCAAAAGGAAAATTATTTTTTGTTTTATATATAAATTTTTTTTAAGTATACCGGCCAAGGTTTATTTATATGTATATCTATTTATGTGATACTTCACCACGGTCGTACTCTACATATCCTCTTCAGGATTGACATCCGGAAAGGTTGTAAATGTTCTACTCAATGTTGATGGTGAGCTTCAACAACAAAAATAAAACAAAAAAACTTTTCCATTCTTTTTTTACTTTCCTTCATGAAAGCGAGGAATTGATTGGAAAGTGAAATGTCTGTCTTCTTGGTTGACTTTGAACCCGAACTCGTTGAAGAAGTGGTGATGGAGATGACACTGATATCAGACATGGTGGGTGTGATCGACGTCATCTTCGTCCGATCTGACTGAAGAAGGTGATCAATTAGACGATCAGGTGGGTGAGTGCATAGACGGCGTGGAAAACGTCAGGAAAACAGAAACAACTTTTTTTTTCTTTTTTAAATAAAATTAAATTGGAAAATAAAAAAATAGAAGATAAAATAAAAAATTAATAAATCCACAACAAAATGGAAATGCAACCAAAAGAAATATCAAAATATTATCAACAAAATAAAAGTAAAAAATAGAGACAGTCTCCCTCAACTCAGAAAGTGCTTGATTGATAGCAAATATTTTTCTTTTTTTTTTCAGAAAAAGCCCTGAGAATAATAATAAAACTTTTGACTTGTAGTCAGACACAGGATGTCGAAACGCGAGGTTAAATGGAATTATAATAGTCATAAACCGAAAACGCACATCTCCGGAGTTGACCATTGAACAATGTGTAGAATACAACCAAATGAAATTATAAGGCAATAAATAATAAAAACCTGGCACGGTATATCAATTGAATAAAGAAAAAAACAAGATAAACTCAAGAACTACTCAAATATATAATAAAGAAAAGAATAATACAAATTTACATAAATCTATACTAAATTTTGGTTTCGCGTTATGTATTGCGAAAAATGACACTTTCGAATTAATATGCAAACCTACTAAAGGACACTAAAAGCCTAAATAATTACTTAATACTTTAGAAACGTCACATAGTACAAAATAACACGCGTCCAAACCTGTTCGCGGGAAACAATCAATGAACAGTTCAAAACTAAACAACGTCAATAGGGGTGCGGAATAATAAAATATATCATTATAAATTCATCAAAGAAATATAATTTAATTATAAAAAATAAAATGTTTGCTTAATTTTTTAAATATGTTTTGGCCGAAAAGGGTGAGACCCTGATTTGTAACCAACCAATAATAAATTTTTAAATAATGCATTTTTTTCGAGAAACTTCTCTGAAAAGGGGTAAATAACCGCGTTTTAGTTTTATTTGAAGCGATTCGCTTCAGTTGAACACAACGGTAAAAATAATAAATAAATGAAAAATTAGAACAGAAGACAATACTTGTTTATTAATTTATTATAAGAATAAAATATTGGCTAATTTTAATTTAGTAGGAGTTCATATAATATGGTAAAATTAATGAACGGTATATTATATTATACTAAAATACATGGGTGATATTCAATTTAAACTTGTTAGGTATCACTTTTTAGGATAAATTATAAATAAATAAAGATTCTAAGTTTTGTCTTTTTTATAATGTATTGATATTAAATATAATCCTTGAAATTATAATATTTAAATAATATTATGCTTATGATTTTTAATATCAGTTTTGGCTATTCTAGTTTTTTATTGATTTTAATTTAAGTAGTAATACATGTTTTAAGTTTGCATTTATATTAATATATACTTTATTTTTTGTGGTTTTCGGAAGACTATCAATGAAATTTACCCATTTATTTTATATTTAAAATCTCATTTTATAAATTGTATGTTAATATGCAATTAAAAGTACAAATAAAAATTAAATTATGTAATTAAAGAAAATTTAATATTCACAGTTATATTAAAATTACAACAATGTAAAAGACACAATGTAGTAAAATGTTCATATTATTTGCATAATTGTTATAATTTATGTATTTGTTTGTTTTTAGAGTATAGAAAATTGTGAACATTAAATTAAATTGGTTTTGGTGCTTAACTGTACAAATATATTTTGCCCTATAAAAAATTTAATTAATCTGTACATTTTTAAAATATTATGCATAGTTTAAAATTACAAATTTAAATCAATTCATTTTAATGTGTATCAAATCTTTATTTATTTCATTAAAAAGTAGAATTTTGAGCAAATATGATACCGTTAATGTTTTTAATATAATAACTCCGTAGTTTTCAAATATTCAGTTCAGAAAATTAAATTTTTTTAATATGTCTATTTTTAATTTCGAGATTCCATATAAACTATAATATTGGTATAAAAATTAATTTTAACTGACAGTATAATGTTTTTAGATCATTTTGTTAGAATGCTGGAAAGCAATTTCTTCGAGGAAAATAATATGAGCAACCATAGTCATTGAAGTTATACTTTGCAATATGAATTCATGAATAATTCATATTGTACTAAATATTCATATCATATATTTTCAACTTGTTTTTATTAATTGTTAATAAAAATGCAATATTCTATGTACACGTTATGGCCACATTTTCATAGATTTCAATTTGCATTTTTATAAAACTAACTTAATTATAACCAAAAACTATAAATCAATTTAACCCATTTTGAAATTTAATTATTATGAGCTTGCATTTTTTGACCATAGGATTTTTGATTTATAATTTTCAAACAATTATTAATATTTTTTTCTTATTTTCAATCTAATGATTAATGTTTACAAATTTATGTATAAAATATTCTAGTTGTTTTGTATATATTAAAAACATACATTTATTTATCAATATAAATTCGTTAAGATAGGTTTCATTGTATATATTAATTAGTTTGAAATTGTACTCTATAATTTTATTTACTAATATATTATTTATTTATACAATTCATATGGACTATGGTCAAATAAAATTAATATATTTACATAACACTTCAATATTTAGAATCTAATTCAAATACACTTTTTTTTTAAAACATCAATTTTATAATTATACATTTTGGCTGTAAATATATTATGATAAAAGGTAATAGGTGTATTAATAGTAATCGAATATTTGTTAAAGATTAATAAAACGAATTGACAATAATTATAATTATTATCATTATTATTATCATTATTAATATCATAATTAATAATTATTATGATATTGCTGATTAACTTGTACAAGAAAAAAAAATATTATTTTCTTTTTATTTCTCTTTTATTTCTGTAGTATACAAATGTAAAGCTTAAGCTCTAAATTTAATTGATGTTGTTTGATGTGTAAAAATCTGCAATTAATCAGCAAGAGTTTTTCGGTAACCGTTTGGTTATTGAATTTTAAAAATGATCAAATTGATTAATATTCAGACTATGCCACGTTGATATATTCTTTTGGTAGTAGTACACATTTTCAATTCAATATTTATTATTGTAATACTCAAAGTTATACATATTTCAAACGTGCAGTAATTATTATTGCTGCTCAGTTGATTATAATTTCGCCTCAACTAAATTGAATAATATAATTTAACTAAAGAGTACAATTATATGAATGTGATTAGGTGATAGAAAAAAAGATAACTACATGATATTTTATTTTTGTATACTACATGTTTAACAAAAGCTGTACTATTTTACTTGATTTATACGATATGAAGACTATCACTATAAAATACTAACTTGATGTTAATAATAAATAAAATACTCAAAATAAACATTTCTATATGCATAATTAATACAACGAGATAGAACTTTAACTAAATTCTGTTTTTATATCTATTCCGTAGTCCCAAGTTATGGTTTCTAAATGAATGCCCAAAAAATAATCATTATTTCGAGATTTCATTCAAGGCTATTATTGTTTAAGTAGCTTAAATATTTATTATTGACTTAGGTGGTTTCATTGCTGACTTATAATATTTTTTTTTTCTTTTTTAACACAGTATTGAATATTAATAGTACGCAACGTACGTTTAATACACAGCATTACAGATTTCCTTCAGTTTTTTCCCCTTAATACATCGATTCATACGATAAACTAAAAAAATATACCAGTGTCGCACAGTTAATCATCATATTTTATTATTATTATTATTATTATTTATTGTATCTTATTTTTTTTTATTTTATTTTTTTTTAATTAAATTATATTGAATTTATCCATTTAGATTAAACCCAATAGTTGATTCATTACAACTAGATTGTTGAGCTATTAACGAATTACCGTATTCAAGGATGGTAAATCGTTAGATTGTTTAGTTAAGACTCGCATAGCATTTCAATGGAAAACTTTTACGAGTATTTCAGTCATTATGCATAATATCTCTTTTAACATTTCATCTACGTAGTATTTCAAAATTAAATTAAATTAAATAACTTTAAGTTTAACAAAAAATACATTTATACGAAACGTTTCAAATATATCGATGAAGAAATTCAAAGAAATGTAACCCTCATAGATTTGTGCAATTTTTTTGAAACTTTTGGCCATAGAACCATGGGAAGAAGGTCGGGTCGTTAAGATATTACCAAGATACCGTGAAATATTTTTAAATATTAAAGTTTATTTACAAAGGATAGACGTGATGATTAGTGCAAACATTTTTATTGATTTAATAATACAATTTTTCTTACAGCCAGAAAACTTGTTGTACTACAGTACGGACGAAGACAGTAAGATTATGATAAGTGACTTTGGATTGTCCAAAATTGAGGATTCCGGTGTAATGGCTACTGCTTGTGGAACTCCAGGATATGTCGGTATGTGTATTATAAAACATTATAAAATATTATTGTTTTATATGAATAATTTTATAAGTATACCTATTAAGTAAACTTAAACTCGGTAATGAATTAACACACTGCGTGCTATAAAATGCTATTTCAATGTTGGAGTTTTACATGTTGATCCTAAAATTATTGATCCATGTCTAATTTTTAACCAGAGATTCTACGTTTTACAAATTTTACTTGACATGTAGGAGGCACTATGCGTTTCACTCCAAATATATATTTGTGTAATTGAAATTTTCAATATTATTACTTTATAATGAAATTAAATCATACTCGTATACGCAAGAAATTAGATACCTATTTTACATATTTTACTATAAAATAAAATTGTTTTCGTTTTACTTTCATATTTTAAAGTTATTCGCTTATTCATTCATTAAATACTATATTAATTATTATTTAATATAATTTATTTTAAGACCTGTGTGTTTCTAAACTGTTTTGTTTAAGTTGTATAATAATGTTTGTGAAGTGCTTTTGTTTGTTATAGACACGTAAGTTCTTTGAAATTTAGCACTGTGGCTATATATTAAACGTTTTAATATACAAATAATAATTACTACATTGCATTTTAGTCGGATAATGCGTTTAATAACTTTCGTCGAAAACTTCATCTTATTCGCTCGCGTTTTCCCAGACTAAAATGTTCAAAAAGTGTAGGTGGTTTGCATGGAAATATGCGTGAATTAAAAACAATTATAACCGAAGTATCACAAAAAAAAGAAATCGTATTGGCTGATCCCAACTCCGAAACCCCGAAGGACGTTACGAAATTACCGCGTGAAAATTATGTTAGTTTAACAGCAACATGATTTTCAAAACCAATATATAATGTATATAATACCAATATATAATTACAACGGTGCCACTTGCGTTTCTATAAGTATAAACAGCCTTTGAACTCGATATAAATCGGATATCTAAACACTGCTCGTATAATACACGTACAGTTGTTTGACGCGGATAGTTGGGTCAATCGCATTTTTTTTTTTTTTTTTTTTAACTGTCTCCAATAGTTATTAAAGTTTTAAACCTTTTTTTTATTTCGTGTGCCAACAATATAAAGGACGACATTCTCGTTCATTGTGAATTTATCGCGTGTCGTATTAAAACGTCTTTACACCATTTGACATTCCATGAGACACGTGTCCATACCTTATGTCAAAATTTGATATCAATCGATTTTAGATTTTAGTAAAGTTCGTAACTTTCAGTTTTGACGCTCGAAAAAATAACAGTCATTATACAAATTATTAGTATTTTTTCCCTTTCCCTACCTTCGTTTCACAAGTGCTTCACAAATCGATACGAAAATCATACTATAGCGAGACCTAGACATTTGTAAAAATGCACACTCTAATTACAACTAACCGTTTCCGAAGTCCATGATTTATCATTGCACTTCGCACATAATAAATTAGTTTTGATGTTTGAATCGTGATTCAACAAAGTGCAACTATTAATAATACAGCTAAATTTAAAAGGATCCGATATCATACTTTTTTTCCATCCATAGTTTCTTCTTTTGTTAATTACATTAATTTCCAATATAATGGTTTTTGATGATATAGTTTGCCAATGACCATGTTATATAATTAATACTCCTTAATTTACTTTGACAGCATATACAGGACTCTCAACTTTTTTCATATAATCACTAAACAAATTGCGAAGAAAGAAGTAAAATAAATTACTTTAATAGTTTCAACGTTTTTAAACACCACGGTGTTTAAAAAAAAGTTTCCTATACCAATACATATTAGATAGTAATTTAAAAACTTTACTAGACCAGTCGTTCAATACGTTTATTATAATCAATATATATATATTAAAAAGTCCCGTGTTCATCATTCCCCTCATGTCAGTGCTATTTCCAGACTTTGGAAGATATTTTCTAGTATTTTAATAAAAACTTTACATTCTTTTATAAGTCAAATAATAATATATATCGAAAATTATATAAAATGCTAGTTATAGACTATATGGTTTTGCAATTCGCCAAGAATGAATTCAGTGGCGTAATTGTGGGGGGGGGGCAAGGGGGGCAATTGCCCCTCTGACAATTTTTCGAGAGATAAAGTTATAATTTTGCCCCCCCCCTCCCAGATAATCCAACAATAAAAATAGCACCTTTTATTAATGAACTCTTATGGATATTATTTAAAAATATTGGTACCTAGTACATGCTACCTACAATTTATGTTTATCTAAACTATAAAATGAGTTAAAAGACTTATGTAAAATCTAACAATTAGATATAGTGTATAAAATACATACAATAAAAATATGTTTTAACTGGTGAGAAGAGGGATGTCAGGGTTTTGGTAATAATAAATATATTATATTACCCCCCTTAGGTCTTTTCCCAGTTACGCCACTGAATGAATTGAAATTGATTTGTAAAATATATTTTTATTAATTTTGGTTTTCTTTATTATGATTGTATAAGATAACGTTTTGTATAAATAAAAGAATGCCAGTAAAATAGTAGAACATTACAGCGATTACGTAACTTAAAACGTTATACATATTTATTAATAAAATAATCAATATTATATTTCATTTTGATCACTTGAAACTTTGAAAACTAGATTATTTTTATAATTTCCATCATAATTTCTGCGATAGGTACTAGTAAACTCATACTGTACATTTATGTAACATAATATGATAATAAATTAGGACGTACAGTACGAGTTTATTAATATCGTAGAAATTCTCATATATACATCTCGTATATATTATTATTATTTTTTATCGAACTTTTTTTTAATTCATTTTGTCCCTCGAATAGAAATATTTGCATTGTGATACGAACATAATTTATTAGCATTGAATACAAATCAGTATATGCAGTGTGAAAAAAGATTTACATTATGAGTATTAAGTCAATGTATTTGAACACACTTATTTATATATAACTTATTATATGCAAATGAAGTAAACGAGCTCACGACAATCCGACTCTTTTTTTTTTCTAAAAAGAATAGATCGAGCACGTACATTACTATAAACACTTGTTGGATATAATTTTTTCCCTTGCGATTGTACTCGTTATTGTGTTGAATTAATTGTAACGTTTCTTAGTACATAATGTAATATAAAGTAATTCACATACGCAGTGGCGCTAAACCTTATGCATAGGACAGGCCGCGGTTCGACCACATTTTTAAAATGAGACCGCGGATCATAGGGGCCGGATCATATCTATGGTTTGCAAAATTTTGACCTCGCGATCAGGGGCGTATACAAGAGGTGATGTGGGGGGTCAGATCCCCCCCATAAGCCTTTTTAAAATTGTATAAATTAGTGTTCTTAATGTAAGGAAATTATAAGGAAACAAAAACATTTTGCAAGGATTTATTGTAAATTATTATTTTGACACATTCAGTATATATATTATTATTTATTATTTAAATATGCAAGTACTTAGGTTTATGAATTTTTCTTCAATAATGATTTGTTTGTAACTGACCCCCCCCCCATATACAAAAGTTATGTATACGCCACTGCTCGAAATTACTCTTGTCTATGCACGGAACGGAAACGTTTAAATGCGAAATGTCTGTCGGTACATATCTGACTAATATGAATCGTGCTTGATACTTATGATTTGAGATCACAAATTATTATTCTACGTAAAGTGAAAATTTAGACTTGTGGTCACTGGGGTGATTGAGAGGTCGTTATATTTTTTATTTGGCCTGAGTAAAATTTTAGATGTTCGGCGCCACTGCACATACCTACGCGTAATAATATTATTTTACGTACAGTCGATAGACTTTAAAATGTTTGTTATTTATAGAACGTTTATAATATACGTTTGCGTATAGAAGAAAACGTTTATAGATAATTTTCCCCGTTTATCATATCATTCTCTGTAATATCATACATTATTCATAAGTCACAATTAAACGACAAGATGACACGCGTTCAGTTTAATGTTAATGTATGTAAAAATATAAACTTATACATAAAAAATGAGTCTCGCTTTCGTTTTATTCAATTAGACCATAATAACGAAATTCTTGAGTCATCATAAACCTTTTTATTATAATAACCATTGGTTTTTTCCACTAAATGTTCAACCGAGTACTTATTTAATACCGTATTATTCAAATATTTAATACTCACATTTAATCTATGCAAATAGAAATTCGGGGCTATATAAAAACATATATGTAATAATACACACGATGTACGTCAAAAAAAGAGTGATTTTAGACATCAAAACGAAATATTTGAATTATTCAACTGTATAATTTTGACACTATACTTCAGAATATTAAAAAGGTATTTTGTTTTATAACTTTATTAATGTACGGCCTATATGAAATATATAAGTTTTTGAAAGATTACTACTTGCTTTGAATTCAATTTAAAATAGCTATTATTTCACGTCCAAATAACAATAATGAATACAGGAATCAATTCAATTGAAATTCGAATCATTTTGAAAAGACATTTGCAGTATTATACAAAAGTTTGATTACGATTGGAAAAAGTTACGGATTTCGTATTATAGATGCGTATAAAATGTGCAATAATTTATTTGAATTGGAATCGAAGTAACCATTAATAAGTTAAGTAGTAAGTAAGTACAGTACATACTATTGTAACAATGATGGAAGGATTACTGTTACTTTAAACTTTTGCTATAATATGATGATTATATTAATTATAACATTCGAGTTTACAGGTTTGACTGAAAAATAAAAAAATATTTAGTGACGTTTAAGATAGTGACAGAAGTACAATATTAGGCTATGTCTGCTAATCTTTCGATCGTTAGTTTGGTTTGGATTTCAATTACGATTTACCAACGACGTAGACGATTATTTAATACTTTTTGACAAATAATAAAATAATTATAATTCTAAAACAACGCACAGATATAAGTTAAAATATATACTATAAGTTAAAATGACTTTTCTAATATTGAAAAATGTGTTAAAGTACGTATTTCC